CCTACTTTTTCTCTTTAGATGTATGTCTTCTGGTAAATTTCTTTGAATTTAGGTGTACTATCACATTGACGATGAACCAACTCCCTACCTTACCGAAGTCCATGTTCCACCTGATTTGATAACATTAGGAGACGTCAAACGAGTACTTATGCGATCAAATTTCAAGTATTACTGTAAAGCTCTGGACCAAGATACGGGGTGGTAAGTCATTTTAATTCCGTTTTCTCTCTTCTTTTGATTAGCTTTCCGGCCTTTACAAGCGGATATTAAGCGATTAATGAAGCATTGAGTTGCATTTGCATCAAGCTTTACCCATCTTTTTCCATCACGACAGCGATTTTTGTCACAATTTTGGCTTTTGTCGTAATTGTGGAGTGGAACTCGTGTTTGCGGGGAAGCCATTCTCTGAATGCGTAACAAAAAATGCTGCGCGCAGAAATATCCGCACCAGGATGTGCCAGTTCAGATTCTCATAAAAACTGTTGGATTTGATGGCTTAAGAAGAATTTTGAATGAATCATACAGCTTTTTTTACTTCAACCAAATCTAAACAACCATGCTAAGAGAGCGCAAGCGAAAGGTGACCGAATCAACTAGATCGGGTCATGCGTCTGAGCTTGAAGAAATTCCCATATGTCGTCCTGTTTGGGTTCGTTATAGGCACGTTGGGCTTCATTTGATTTTGCTTGGCAGTCGGTTCAGCAGAGGGTACAACGGGTTTTTCCCTTTCGGGCACTGTTTTACCTTGAGGGGATATGTTGCACTTTTCTAGTTCCTTTGGTCAATGTTGAATAACAGGACTCAACCGGGCAGGACCTGTAAACCCCTGTGAAGCTGCAAAATGGTGCCAGTAAGCCACTGTGCCCACAGAACTTTCCAGCTTTTTACGAGGTGGCATGTAAAAGCTTCACGAAGTACTCTAGTTCGCTGCGGACGGTTGGGCGTGTCAGGCAGTATGAGTGTGTCACCCCGTCAAAGCCGTTCTCTGCCTTCTTGTTGAAGCGCGCATGCGACAAAAAGTGGTAGAAAACGAGTAATACGAAGGATATGATACAGTATTGTCACTTGCCCGCTTCAACAACTGGTGTAGAACGAGTTTGGCACCGCGCCAAACGCAGCCGCACTGACACGCCCAACCGTCCGCAGCGAACTACACTATACCATTCGATGCCTCTACCGAACGAACTGTACCTCAATTCAATGATGATAGTTTTATTTAGTTATAGAGGCCTGGGAAGTCCGCCAACTTACCATGGAACTTTGATTTAAGACCTTGGTAGGTCGACAGAGCCTATAAGGTTATGAATTGACACATTACATTTGTAACCTATAAGGTTACAAATGTAGATAGCAAAACTGCAACCTGCATTTCACAAGCAACTTATGAGCAGGTAAAGTTTGTAATGGTGCAGTAGGGTGGAGGCTTGGTGGTGAGCTGTGAAGCATAAGCGAGGAATCGCATACGTCGAATCGAGTCGTGGTGGTTCAGTGGTAAGTTCGACGTTCGCCGACCTGAACAGACGTATGCGATTCCTCGTTTATCCAAGCCTGCACCATTACAAACTTTACCTGCTCATAAGTTGCTTGTGAAATGCAGGTTGCAGTTTTGCTATCTATATTTGTAAATAACCTTATAGACTATCGATCTACCCAGGTCTCCATTCAAAGTTCCATGGTAAGTTGGCGGACTTCCCTGGTAAGAGATAAGGGCGGACTGAGTAAAGCTAGGGCTGAGAGGTTGTCCCAGTGAGTATTGATATTCGAGCACTTTCAGGGAGAATTCTGTGCATTAGGAATGTATATACTTTCAAAAACTTACTTATTATAAGGTGTAAGTCTGCTTTCGCTTTTGTTACACTAGTCTCACTTCTTGTGGTTTGCTCCCTAGTTTCTTTGGCGTTACTAGGGTTGTTTCAATGGGGGTTTATAAGTGGTTATTGTCAACGTTTAGCTCGGGAGTAATCTTCGCACGCGACCTCTGCCCAGTCCGCATGTCTACTTCTGCCTCGGATGTGAGTAGGTCTACAGATAACTAGGAGCATCCTTCAGTAGCCCTAAAACGCAAGTTTTGGGATATTTAATGGGTTATTCTGCTATCCAAAGCGGATGAAGCTTGTTGCCCCTTCATGGGTATACCACATAGTCAACTTCTATTCATTACTATAGTGGCACTTGAACACGTGACCTGACCATTGGCAGTGATGTGTATCCCCCCCCCACCCCTCCCCTTGTCATGCAGACGAGGCGAGCATGGCTATGCCCTTCCTTTGATCGTGGAAGCGGTTTCTCTTTTGGTGGGATATTTCCATTTTTGGACAGTCGTAAGGAAGTATGTTAAGCACGGGACAGGATGAGAGTTGTCCTAATCAGAAGTATCCGACGATTGTACGAACTCTAAATCATGTTCAAGTTGCTGTTGAAGAACGCAGCCAGGGCTATCCCATTCCGCGATATGGGGTAGACGTCTGTGTTTTGTTCTCTTCGACGAGACGGCACCTGTCAGCTGGGCTGAATAGTTCGTATATTTGATAGGGCGGCTTGGAAGTACTGAATCTCTCTCCGTTGAGGGAGACCTCCCATCTGGGAATTCTCAGAGTACATTCACTCAAAAGAATTGATGAGAATCGGTGAGCTGAGAGGTAGGTACAGCCTTGTATCAGTTCTTTCTCCGCGGATAATTTGGCTTCTTAATTATGGATTCGGGAGAGTTTTTCTGTTTTTATGTCGTTCATCAAATTGTCCATCTCGCAGGATAACCCTAATTTGCTGATTTCAGCTCATTTACATCTGAACCCATTTTTTATTTCACAAACGTGCGCGCTTGCACTAATCTCTGCAATCTCCTGTCAATCTTGAAAACGCTTCCCATCTTTGGCTGACGACTGTGAGATCTCAGTTTTTTGCACCGCTTACTTTTGCAATCGTCTGTCGTCTGGCTAACGATTGAGCACGTGCTAGGGACTTTTTGAGATTGTCTGTTGAAGTTGTTACTAAGAGTACTCAATAGCTTTAGCGCCCGATTTGTTAAAATGAATATTTTCGGAGCAGAAGAGGCTGCCCATGGACGCAGTTTGGTTCGGTGGGGGGGGGCACTAAATAGTGCTCGCGCGAAGCCTCAGTAGGCCAACTTGTAGAGAACTGTAAGTTTTGAAGCCAAAGTGGTCACTTGTACCGTTTTGCAGCTTCGAAAGAGTTTACGGGTCTCACCCAAGAATGAACTAGCAAAAGTGCAAAATGTCTCCACCCCCTGAGCCGAACAGCGCAATATACTCTCCCCCATATTGCTCAAAAACATTTTTGTGGATTCTAATAATTGACGTTTTCTTTTGGAGTTTCCCCAGCTGGGTACGTTGAAGGATTGAAGTCTGGAAAATGGCGTGGAACTAACAGTTGTCCGATTTTCAGCGAGGTGAAAGCCGAAATCCGTGATGACATGGAACGATTGCATCGCTCATCGAATGGACGCTTTGAATTGTTCCTGCTGACTACCGAAGGATCTACTCATTCTGACGGCTCTTCAGGTCTTCCAAAAACTGCACGGCATCATATGGTGAATAGCTAAGACAAATAGTTCTTTCTTTTGTGAAACTTCAACGGCGATCAGTTTTGCTTACTTTTATCCTTATTCAGGTGCCGGGGCCAGCGCCAACCAGCATGTATCATCTTAGTCAAAATGCATATCGTCAGGCTGTGCACCAGTACGATAATAGTTGTGAGTACTGTGTTTTGCTCTTGTAGTCTTGTTTGCTGGCATGCATATTAGGATGTACAAGCGAGCAGGCGACGGTTGCTCGTCGAAAGTGGGCTGGCGCCGTGCCAAACCTAGGCCACCTAACATTGCAGCACTCGCAGGGATATGTGAGACAGTCGCAATTGGCCGCTTGAATCGCTTGCGACGTCGCGGCTGCTGATCAAGATGCTTTTTAGCGCAGATAGCGAAAATAGTTAATGAATAAGTACAATAGCATGAAAGTCTACAATGTCGTAGTTTACATGAAATCCGGTGCTCCAGTGACAGGCTAACGCAGATTAAGAAAACGTCGCCGCGCGCGACGGAACGCTAAATTGCGATTGTCTTGACTGTCTCCCACCAGCAGCGACCAAAGCCATATTTGTTGCTGAAGGTGCTACATATGTATTTGTGTAATATTAATCATTATCTGGAAAATATCTGGAACGAAAATGGTGGATTAGGGGAAAATATAAGCGGCTCTGAGCTTAGTGCTGCGGAAAAGAATGTATTGTTGCTGTTTTTGCCGTAATCCTAAACTTCCTTACTCCTTCAATTAGCAAGTTTCCTGATATGTTTTTCTGTACTGCACCCCACCTGCCCCTCCCCTTTAACAAACATACGATTATACGAAAATACGATTATCGGGAGTGGTCACACCTAGCATTTCTCCTTGAGAGTCTTATCATGTTTTCTATAATAACATTTCTTCTCGAAAGTCTTATCATGTGTTCTGTAATCCGACCTCCTCTCAATGGATCAAATGTGGGACCCCCAACCGCCTCGTCGCATCAGCGGGCGGTTGAGTCAAGGGGGTTGAGTGAATACCTTGAAAGGTGGTGAGAAATTCTTGAAATTACTCGTCAGGAAAAGAATGCTGTTGGTCATTCTAATTTCTTTTCGGATATGGGATTCAGTGAATGAGGGTTATGGACCAGGCCTTTAGGGGTCGGTGGGTAGAATCCGTATTTTAGTTACCCATCCGTCTGTTAGATTCGTTGGAGTATTTGGTATTATCGACAAACTCTATTAATAAGTGGGCGGAGTCGTTGGGGGCGGAGTTAAGAGTGTCCTTGTATAAAAGCCCTCTCAACTACATACGTGACATACGTCATCTACATACATAAGTGTGATATAGTGAAGTTGTGAAAAGTATGTGTAGGTAGAATTCGTAGTGTATAATGTAATTTAGGTTATGTTCGCGGAAAAGGGGGTGTGGCTGTCTGGGGCGGGGCTCCAAACGATGTCTGTGAAGTGCAGGGTGTAGTGTAGCGGGCGCTTCTCGCAAGGATGCAAGAAAAATCGCTTCACCCAAGAACCAGAATTGAATGAAAAAAATAATAAGTGCTGTTCAGCGCCGCTTTTGCCTTCCGGAATTTGTCACAGGAGTGTTGTGTTATGGGTCGAAAGACTTGACCATAGGCTCAA